AGATTCTTGGCCTTCCTTTCTACTTTTTAGAGATTGTAATCCTCAAGAATTTAAATTCAAGTACAATTACTTACCAATGAATAATCTTAAAGTTTTTAACCTGGTAGTCTATCCTCAACTTGGTGTAGGTCCTCATCAACAGTAAAATAATTTCAAGAGTTTTAAGAAATCAATGCATCGAATTAATCAGTACCTGAGGTACTTAGAAAATGTTTATATTCATATGCATGTGTATGTGGGTATAGTTTATATAGAGTACCTTTTTTCCAACACAAAAATTGGGACACCTGGGAACCACCAGGGTGTTTCAAAAAGTTCATGGAAAGATTCCCATTACCTTTTAATTATTTTTCCATGAACTTTTTGAAACACCCTCATATAGTCAAAATCTAAAATATTAGCATTTCAGAGGCATTTCCTTTGCTACCTGACTATAAGCAGAATTTTTAAAATATGCTATCTTATGTTCTGAAGAATCTATAGCAAATAGTGACTATAACAAACACTATAACAGAACAAAAGCAGATAAATAGATATTTTAAAAAGCAGAAAAAAATCAGATTTCAAATGATATTTGAAATTGAAAATTTTATCTGACTTTACGAATGAATTTGAACTTCCCAGGCTAGTACATCAAATTTATTTTGAAAAAAGCCAATATTTCAGGAGATTTCAAAATATCCCAGGAGGAATTGCATTGTTTGCACCGTTATAATCCTTGCCATGGTTTTAGCACTATTTTTACTTTTGAGGCCTTAAGCTTTTGCTTAAAGCTTAAATATATATACACGCTATATATAAACACACATAAAAATATCATATACTTTACTCACAGGCAAACTGAAGTATAGCTTCTCTGCTAAGAATAGTTCCAAAAGTGTTGGTTGCCAAACACTGATAATGTCCAGAGTCCTTTGCTTCTGTTGGATTGCTTATAATGAAGGTGCCGTCTATCAAACTGTAGCGATAATCACTTTCCAAATCTATTTCTGTTCCATTTTGAAGCCATCTTATGAAAAACCAGAAGACAGATACATAAAAATCACTGGAGGAATTATAATACTCCCTGGAAGTGCCAAAATATCATTGATGGAAGTATTTTAAGGCTAAGAAACATGATTAAGAGTGAATTTCTACCTGTAACTGGGTACTGGGTTGCCACGAGCTTCACAATTCAGTGCTACCTTCCTTTCATCAGAATCAGTAGGAAAAATGATATCATCCGGTTCTTGCACAAACACTGGCCCGTAGTCCACACTTTCTGTAAGGACCAAAATGGATGTGTATGTTAAAACTCTTCAAAATAGCAAGACATTTTGTTTGCTTGTTTTTCTAGTATATTTATATTCAAAATTCTTGTTCTTTCCTTGTAATCAACAGGCAAAACTTCCAGGAATAGTTAGAAAATTACATTGTCTTAGTAAGTTTTAGAGACAAACACAATGCTTTTTAAAGGTATGATATGTGTAATTGAAAAACAAGCATCTCAAACACTGAGGTACATTTTCTGTTTTCATCTTCTAAAGCAGAGGAAAATAATAATACAAACATTATTTTAAAAAAGCTAAAAGTTTGTAAACCTTCTAGAATGTTAAAATAATACATAATAAAAATTATTGTACTTTAATATAATAAACAATATTTATGTATCACTGCTTGGGAGCTACAGCTATGAAAATGTTGGTCTTCGTGTATTTTTAACACATTCCTTTCTTCACTCATTCACTCAAGCACTATTTTGTGTTAACAATGATGGAGTGTAAGGAAAAAAAAATTGTAATGCAAATAAATAGATTTGCATGGAATAAATGAAACACATTCTCAAAAATGTCAAATTACTGAGTTAAAATATCAAAAATTTATACAATTAAGTGTTCAATCACTTAATTGAACCCTTAATTCAATAGAGTAACTAAGACAATTGCAAGACAAAATGCATAAAAGGGGGGTAGGGGAGGATCACTTAAACTTATTGCCTACAATATGCCAGATAGCAGATTTTATTTTATTTTGCTAGTTACAACTCAGAGAAATCCTATGGCAAAGGTAATTTGAAAGTAATGAAAATTTCATGGAAAAAGTGAGAATAGAATTGACCTCAACTGTCAGCTTGGATTGAGTTTTAGAAATTATGAGTAAATGTGCTGGTGGGAGTATAAGTCATGTTAGCCTGTAGTTATGTAAGAATGTAGAACATCATGTACATATCTAGGATCTATAGTGTCCTGAATTGTAAGTTTGAGAAAGAGTAAAACTTTTTGCTGTATTTTTATTAATTTTGAATTTGATTACACAATAGCCTTGATCAAGGTCAGCCTCATCACAATTTACATTTTGGGACAGATATTCTTTATTGTGGGGGGCTGTTCTGTGTATTGTAGGATGTTCGTATTGCAGCATCCTACAATACCCTGTACTCACTAGATTCCAGTAGCATCCCTCTCTAAGGTATAATAATCAAAATGTCCCTAGACATTGTTAAATGTCCCCTGGAATCAAAATCATTCTACTTGAAAACCACTGCCTTAGGTAAATGAAGAGGGAAGATTCCAGAAAGGACATATTTTCAATAACTATAGTATGTGGCTGGAGGTATACATACTCAGTGGATAAACACAAGATAATAGCAGAGAAGAAGTGCAAGAATGAATGTCCCAAGAAGCTTGGGCTTTAAAAAAAAAAAAATTACTGGAGGGGCTAGCCAGTTAGCTCAGTAGGTTAGAGAGTGGTGCTCATCAAGACCCAAGGTTTGATCCCTGTACCAGCCAGCCTCAAAAAAAAAAAAAAAATAATAATAATAATAAATAAATAAATAAAAATAAAAAAATACTGGAAAACATGTACACTCCATATTTAGAAGAATGGGTTCAGAGTAAGTTGATGTACTTTCTTTAAACATATCATAATCTCTTTGTTTGGGCAAAGAAAAACAAAAGTATTCATAAAATTCTAAACATTTACCCAATAGAAACTGAGAACTCACAATGGGCCTGCATAGTCAATATTTTCTAGTCCTAGTCAATATTTTCGAGTCCTACATAACCCAGGTGAGGTTTGTAAGCTACAACAAGAAAAACTTACATTCAAATAACCAAAATGTATTTTTCAATACTCAACTAAATTGCTGCTAAATTTTCTTAATTGAATAAAACTTGTATTCAATAAGAAAAAAGAAATAAATGATTAGATAACTGGAGGAAAATACTGTCAAAATTTTGTATTTATTGCTGCATCGCAATAAATTTATAGAAATTTGGAAAAGCACATAAAATCTCATGAAACTCTGAGAATTAAACTGAACTTTCATATATATGTATTATTTTCTAATTCTCTGAGCTCAGTGTTATAATTACTTCTAACTGAAACATGAAAACTCTGAGGTTCTGAGAGTATATGTCTTCAAAATTAGCCACACAGTAAAGAGTTTATTTTAACTAAGTTTCTCTGGTTCCAAACCTTATGTTCTAAAAATTATTGAAACAGGACAAGAGAGGTAAAGGGTTGTCAAGCTAGGGAAAACCAGAGGAGTAAGATTTGCAAAATCTCATGAAACTCTGAGAATTAAACTGAACTTTCATATATATGTATTATTTTCTAATTCTCTGAGCTCAGCGTTATAATTACTTCTAACTGAAACATGAAAACTCTGAGGTTCTGAGAGTACATGTCTTCAAAATTAGCCACACAGTAAAGAGTTTATTTTAACTAAGTTTCTCTGGTTCCAAACCTTATGTTCTAAAAATTATCGAAACAGGACAAGAGAGGTAAAGGGTTGTCAAGCTAGGGAAAACCAGAGTAGTAAGATTTGTTAAATTATGGGCCGAATAATAAGAGGTTAGGCTGAACAACAAGGGTCTGTTATGCCTGTCCATACTTCATAAAATTGCTCTTTGCTGTTCATTGTTATTTCCCGATTAGGGCATCTTAGCCCTATTCAGTGAGGCTGAGCCAATGCCTCAACCCAAACAGCAACAAATACAAGGGTACTTCATAAAGTTCATGGAAAGACTTGTATTATCATTTAATTCTATTTTTCCATAAACTTTCTGAAGTACCCTCTTAAACATATTAAAAATAAAATAAAAAGTAAAGTATTTCAAATGCCATCTTAAGCAATCTCTCTTTTCTTTTTTTTCTCATAGAAGTAAAGTTTATTGTAAGCAGTAAAAGAGCACATATCTATGTAGAGCTTCCTAGTCCCCAGCAAAGAGTAATCAGTGATGATTCGTCTTCTGATGAGATTAGTTTTGAAGCTCCATACCAAGAAGGTATTATTTTAAAATACACACAGACAAATTTTTGATTCATTCCCCTGCAATAGTAAATTCCATCTCCTGATCATGATGATATGTTGTTTGAAGCTGTGTCCTTCCATTTTGCACTTTTCAGCTTGATGTAATCTGTAACTTGTGAAGATAGACTTCAAAACTTATATAATAGTAAATCATCAAAAAGATCTTGACAACTAATAAATTAAAATCCTTCCTTAACCAAGTGGAAACATTTGAGACATTTGTGTAACAAGCAGATGCCATCACACACAATGTTAATTTCTCATAGGAGCAATGTTTTTGAGTGTGTTTTTTCTTTATCAGACCTTTTATTAACAGACAACTAGATAATATGTAGGTGGTTGAACCTACAATGCTAATGATTACTGTCTGTGAAAGGTCAGATTCATACCTGAAGAGCGTTCTTTCTTCAGAAAGAAGAGGATTATTTCAATTTGGAAATAATTCTCTGCTAAACGGGATGATAAATTATACTTCCACTCACTTCCCCTCAAGTTTATCTCCTAAATTTTCTCAATTTTTTTATTAATTATAGTTCACAAAATTTTTTTATCCATAGTTCTTATTATTACGACATTAGAATTTATTATCTCCTCCATTTCTAAATTATTTATTTTCTCCCAAAGAAAAGCTTGTATGTGATATATTTCTTGTTACATGGTGAAGACAATCTGGGGTTTTTTTTGTCCTTATAATTGAAGACAACTTCACTGGGTATCAAATTAGCTGTCACTGTTAATTGCACTAATGTCTTTGTATATATTCTTCCACTCTCTGATGACATTGAACTTCACCGTGGTGAAATTAAAAAAGTCCAGTCTGACTTTTCTCACATCTAAGTGACTGAATTTTATGCTTGGATGCCCATGGGACTCTACTCATCCTCAAATTTCCAGAATTTTGGTGGATATATCTTGGTGTTGGTCATTTTATAATTTTTATTTTTTCCTGGGAATCAGTTGGCCATTTTAAGTTTTCTTTTTCATTTGTTCTGTTCTCATACCAACTAGGCATAGCTTTTATTGTTTTGTTTTGTTTTTTTAATGTCTTCTATGTTTTCTCTGTAACAGCTTTTATATCTTTATTCTTTTCCTATTTGAATTTTTGGAGTTTGGTCACTATGTTCCCAAATTTTCAGTTGCCACTATTTTACTACTAATGAGTGTTTCAACTCTTTAATGGTTTTTTTCTCTTCCATTTATTTCATTAGTGTTGGGTGCCTTCTTGCCCCACACCCCTCAGTTTGGCTGAGGCTACCTGATAGCTGCCTTGTAAGCTGTTTCTGCCAGGAACTGTTTTGCTCCTGGCTGATACACAAGTGGCTTTTCTTCTTTTTTCAGAGACCACTGACCATAAACTTTCTGGGTGGTAATCATTAATCTGAAAGTCCTGTCTCTGTTTTTCTTGAGATGCTATTGCAGATGCCGTACAGCAGAAAAGAGCACATATCTATGTAGAGCTTCCTAGTCCCCAGCAAAGAGTAAACCAATAAACGAGACTTGATCAGAATACTGTCTTGTCTCCATTTCTCGTGTCTCTTGTCCCGTCCAATTCCCACTCCCCCCTCCAGGGTCTGCATTGAATATCCCGTGGATCAGGACATTTTTGGCGCCTAAATGTGGGGCACTGGATACGGGGGACACCGTGAGGAAGACAGTGCTTCGGAGGGTCGACCACTGAAAATGAAAGAGTAAAACCTTCATCCACTGCGGGAACCTGCCACATCAGGATAAGGTGAGTAAGTGCGCCCGATAATGGGACAAGATTAAGTTGTCATGACGTC